GAGAGACACCACCATGGGAACATGACAAAACAATAGCAATATTGTTTCACACTTGAATGTGTAACATGCAAAACAGCAAGAGCATCACAGCGTGCTGCTGGGCTCTTTGTTCGTATCCTGAGTGGATATCCTCCATCTTTCTTCATCATTCTCATTATGTGACGAGCCATTTTTAACCTTTTCTCATGTGCGTGAGAGCTCAACAGAGAAATAGTGGCCCGTTTTGCTGTGGGCTTTCTGGGCAAAAACCTAAGATATGATACTTCTTTTAATTTAACTTTTCTTTAAGCAAGAAATTCTCTTTGAGATCAAGACAGAGTGTTCTGGCCACTGTATGAAGTTCACTATGTTCATTATTCTTAGTTTGCTCATAGCGCTAACACAAAGGGCAGCTGGGGCTGATGGGGAGTGTTGGCAATTTTTCAAGATGTCAAATTCAAAAATTTGACTTGATGATGTCACTAAATGAAAGCGTCACCAAAGTCACTGCAATTCATCCCAAGCGAGACATGAATGCGTACACCAAAGTATTAGGGTATAAACGTAGGAACAACATTGTTGCCATCAGGTGTTGCACCCTGGAAGGGCAAAAGGTTTTTGACTGCTGTGGTTGTGGAGGTTGTGGCTGTGGACAGTGTGCAACATGCTTAAAGCTGTGTGTTCAGTTTGGATAAGATAAAGAAATGGACATTTATTAAACCTATGTTTTGGTTGCTCTGCAACTGGTCCTGCAGTTTATTGTCTAAATTCAACACAAACAAGGAAACTGTGGCATCAACTGTGCAAAGACACCTGTGTCACAGGTCTGTGTCATTGCACTGGAAGCACCAGGAACTCTCTCACTATGCCGTAAGCAAAAATCTGCCAGATTGTGCGGCAGGAGGAGGAGCTGGTGGCGCATCACATTGTCACTCTGACGTCATCACATATTGACGTTTGGTCATGGACTGTCCATGTCCAGATACGATGTGCAAGGTACCCTGGGCGTGTGGTTGTTGACATTCTGCCTGTTACATGCATTGTCTTCTTTCAAAATACACTTCTGTTTTCACAGGAAATATAACGTTTACTGCCTTAACTTTCATTCTTGTCCTGCTGCATCTCCCCCGACGTGGCTAGGTGCTATTAAACTATAACAGCGACCTGCCGTGTATCATGCCGACATTAAAGGACGGCTTTTTTGTCTGTGTCTAATGACACAAGTCACTGCCTAAGTGCCAAATTTCAACGACTTCGGAGTGAGACCAGGTTAGGTGGCACCGGGGGCGCCTTAACATTGTTGACCACCACACCGCAGTGACACAGACCTGGTTGAAAACTGGCAAAGTATCCCTGTAAGACGAATTACTGGAAGCCAAAAATATCACCCTCAGCGTGGAGCCAGAGGAAAAGTCATGGGATCACCAAACTCAGTCAGCATTCTGTCAAAAAGTTGAGATACTTTAGTCCAAGTGGTACACACACACACACACACACACACACCTATGAAGACTACCATACATACATTAAGTCATGCTGCTAGCATGGCTAAAAATATTAAAGACCAGTCGAACACAAAACCCATAACCAGCAGCCATAAATCAACAGATATCTGGACTTTTAAAATGTACTCCTGATCATTTTAAACAGGGAAACCTAAATCTGCAACTTTTGTTCATGGATAAAAAAGGAACCTGAACCAAAAATTACGATCAGCATATTTACAGAGGTTAGTGTTTGGCCAAATTAAAGAGAAAACTGAAAAAGAAAGCAGAGAGAAAATCAAAGTGCCAACTGTTCTGTCACAGTGGCACCAAGTCACTATTTTAGGTGTTTACAAGTATGAGTTGGACATAATTATCTGCAATGGTGCTGTTAGTAAAGATCACCACATTAAACTGCAACATTTCAGTGCTGAACAAACCACATCTACCTTCAGCCACCAGAAGGCCACACAGATGCTAAAAAACTGACCTCTTGCAACAGACGAGAAAATGAAAAAGCACAGTGAGAGAAAGAGAAGAGGACGGATTAACTGTTTAATCTTTAGGCCATCAAATCTGTGATTGATCGGGGATTACACACTGTGTTTGTGTCTTTGGCCCTGTGATTTACAGTGCAGGGAAACCTGATGCAGAATGTAGACCGACTGACACACACACAAAAACACACACAATGCTCGGAGTAAAACCTCGCCATTGCATAACTACGTGCAGCCTGAAAGTGACAGAGGTTCAGCTGGTTTGTGATACAACTGCACAGCAATACCTGTGACTGGGCTGTTATTTCACATAGCAGTTAACAGACTGCAGTGTGACAGCAAACTTTACCAACAATGGAAACTGACTTTTGGACATTCACTTCAAATCATGTGTGTCCCTCTTGATTTCTGCCTGATAGAAATGAGAAATCACTTTCTCTCTTCTCATTTTCCACTAAATCGATTATAATCTCTCTTTGTTTTTGATTGGGATTCGTGCACACGCGCGTGGATACACATGCGTGTTTGTGTGGGTGTGTAATCTGTGGCACTGTAGGAACGTGGAGTGTGCACTTGGCCGGTGTTCAGCAGGCAGCTCACAGGATTATGATGACTGCTGCTGCGTCTGTGTTTTGGGACATGAGAGGAGAATAAAAACCCAAGGGAGAGAGGAGATGGAGAGAAATAAATAAAATATCTGTGGAGGAAGATCAATTGATTGAGAGACAATGAAGGGGGAAAAGACTTTAAACAGGCTGACTCTGGAGAGGGAGGCGCACAAAGAAAAGACAAACAAAAGAGGAAGAGGACAGAATGGCTGTGTGCTTGTGCTGGATTATTTCTTTGGGGTAGCTTCTGTGTGTTCCAGCTGCAGACGGTGGATTATGCAAAAATTCATGAGCATGCCGGCCTGTCAGTCTCAGTCAGCCTTTTTTGTGTCTTCCTGCAGTGAAGGATTGCAAACTCACATGTGAAAACATATCAGTGATTGCCTGTGACAACCTGCTGGGGCACCCGACAGAGGCTGACAGACTCTGAGTGTACACCAGCCAGGGGAAGACAGACACACTGCAGCAACAGTCGGCAGGCAGGGACTTGGCAGCGATCATGTTGTTATACCCTTCCTGCTCCCTGTGCAGCTCTAATCCACTGCTCTGTCCTTCAACATGACAATCCCACACATGGCGTGGACTCACAATCAGTAATAACACATACACACATGTATGCACACCAGCAAATTACTGCTCAGCTAGCACATGGGGGGGGGGTTACCACTGACTGAGTGAAAAAAGCAATCACAGCAGATGTCACAGCAGCTAAACACATCCGTATGCCGCCACAATCGCTTTTGTCATTACGTAATATGTATACCATCACCCCCCTTTTTATTACACCGCCACAAGACTGATGCCGGCTGCATGTTTGGCCCCAGCTTAGTGTGATTACACAGCTGCACCTGTTACAATGAGGCAAGAGTGAGTCCATTCATACACACACACACACATGCACACACACACTGTAAGATATGGGGATGCCATCTGCAGGGGCGGACACATCTTAGTGTGATTACACCAGTGCACCTGCTGAAAGAAGGCAAGTTTGACAACTGTGTAGGGTTGACTGAAAGATGTAAGAAGCTGCTGAAATGGTCTAATTTGGCTTATGCACTGATCAGGAGTAAAAGTCACATAGTTTAAGAGTTTAGTTTAAATCATTTGGATATAAAGTTTATGAAGTTTGATGCTCCTACACCTGTCAGAGTTGCATCGAATACAGCAAAATTGCCACTAACATGCTGAGCAATATACAGCATGACATATTTAAAGGACCTTAAACCTACAGCAGTGTTTATCAACTTCCAGCCCAGGGGCCAGATTTGGCCCACAATACAATGCTGGGTGGCCCATCTACCATTTGTAATTCTAAATGTAAATAACTTGATTCATGCTGGGAATCTTCTTGTGTGTTTTGAATGTAAATAAGGTGCCAGAGTGCATAAAAAAGAATTGAAGTAGTGCTCTTATTATCAAAAAAAGAAAAGAAAGAAAGTGCAACAGGAGGATCCACTGGACCCCCCTGACAGAGGCCCCCACAAAGCCCCAAATATCCTCAAATCCTAGAGACCCCCCTGTATACACCTGACCTGGATTTGCCTCAGCAAACATCGAAAGGTTGCAAGCATCAAATTAATTTATTACATATACTGATAAATATTATATATATTGTTTTTAACCTGGTCCCCTGACATTTTGCAAAAGTGGTCAAAGCAGGTTGAGTGTCCCTAGCCTTCATTATATTCAGAATTAACTTAATCTTAAAAATAATGAAAAAAAATCATCACGTTCACCCTATGTAGGGTTGATAAGTTTGAACTAATGGCTTTAGTGATACTTGATAAATCATTTATTGATCCTTCACAGGTCAGTTGTAAGTCATCAAGAAGAACACCTGGGTTACAAAGATGTGAAAAATCTTACTACCATCACAGTCTGGCAACCCAAAAGCTGTTTGCATTAATGGCTTATAACAAATTATAAAACTGTGGTAAATAACTATTAATAATTAATTTAGAAATTACAACATATAAGCCCTTTATCAAGAGTGTCTATTCAGAAACTGGTATCAATTGTTTGATTTTAAAATTTGCTCTTATATTAAATTGTGATTAAAATGATGTGGGTGATGATATGCCTTTTAATTAACACTTAAATGACATGTAATACTGTTTTAAAATCAAATTGATCAAAATAATAGCAGAAGTAGAAACATGTTTAAACTACCATGCTCGTGAGAGTACAAGGTACAGAAGGTTATGAAGCAACTACCTATTTGATCCAATTTATATCTATGATGCTGTGATTTCTACTTTGAAATGATCCATGTTCCTTTTACTTTTCGACCTCTCCATTGTGTCTGCACCTCTTCCTTTGTGATTGGTATAGATTTACTGAAAGACAAATCAATCATGTCACCTGGACTCACACCGCCACAGTCCCATCACTATTACTTAACAGGTGCTGAGGAAAGCAGAGCAGCCTACCTGGAATAACACAAGTTGTCATCAGGAATATCCAAAATCCAGTGCTGTCCATGCCCAAACCTCCGTTGCCAGCTTCTCGCTGTGGTTAAATTCCCAGTGTGCACTTGTTTGACGCCTCCTGCCTCCCAGACTGAGCACACGGCAGCGGGTTCAGCTTCAGGTCTGCCTGTCAGGGTCCGGTCAGGTCTCCATGTATGCGACAAACAGAGCACACACACACATACACACACACACACGCTCCCGGGGATTCACAAAGATTTGTCAAACTTCACTCCGCAGCCTGTGTGTCACTTTTTCTTTTCTGCCACTCTAATTCCGACTTCCCTGTGAGAGGTGACGGAGCTGCAGCAGTCTCTGTCCGGCTGAGGCTTGGCGGGGATAAAGCAGCTTAACGCGTGGGCAGATTATTTCCGAGATAGCCTACCCCCAGTCCCGACCGACTACTATCTATCTGTCAATGTGTGTGAGGGCTGAGCTGAGCTGAGCTGAGCAAGCCGCCGTCCGGTGTGAACAGTTAGGGGGAAAAAAAGGCGCAGTAAGGCTATTTTTAATGAGCAGACTCAATAGATGCAATTAGGGGCCCAGACAGGGACGGAGCTACAGGAATTAGAGCCGGGTGACTGTGGTCCCCCACACATAACCACACATTGTGCTGTTGTACCTGATGCCTCCTCTCAATAATGAGCTTGGATCTGTTGTTCTGCCTGGCTTTTCAATGAATGAATTGATAAATCAATAAATGAATGAATGAATGGACGATCATGCAGTGTTTGCTCTTGATTTAAAGGGAAATTTCGGTTTATTTCAATCTGTCTCCTATCATCCTGAATTTGTTTCAAGTGACTAGTGACATAAAAATAATAGGTAGCATGTTAGCCGTTAGCCTAGATACAGCCAGGGTGCATGGTAGCGTCAGACCTGTTAAAACGTAAGTGAACGGGCATACTTCAAGTGCAAAGTTAGTCCACTAAACAAGCTTTTTTTCCACAAAGACTTCCTCATATCGTTAGTATAAATGTCAGAGAACATATAGAAAACGACATGTAAACGTGTTGTCTTACCTTACCGGTGTGCTGCCATGTTTGTTTACATTTAGCTCTGCTTTCCAAAGCCCAGCCGAAATATGGCGAGAACAAGCAGCGATCTCATACCGTGCCTGAAATCTCTCGAGCTCTAGATAAAGCCCAGCTGGATACTAACGTTACTCCAGGTGGAGGTGTCTTGTCCTCAGTCACATCCAGACCTTGAAAATAAGGCTGCAACCGGTCCTATTCCTTGCAACAGAGGCATTCCTCTTCTGTGGGCACTGGGGCACAGCATTCACAGGTACACCACCAATCTCCAGAGCTACGCAGCCTTGCAGCAGCCATTCCTCCTCTCTCGTCCTCTACCTGTTGCGCCTCTCTCTCTCCTCCTCCGTTCTTCAATTTCACAAAGCTCTTCTTCAGTGTATTCTAGCTCAAATAAATTGTTTACCATTTAGCTCTGCTTTCCAAAGCGCGGCTGAAATATCGCGAGAACAAGCAGCAACAGCTGGAAGGCAGAACCGGACAGTAGCCTGAAAAGTTCATTCATTTATTTTATGAAAGATTTATAGAATAATGGCTGACTTTTTTTGCCAGACTTCGACTTTGTGGAGGAGGAATTTGATTTTGGAGAGTTTGATGGCCGCACTTATTTATTTGAGCCAGAATACACTGACGAAGAGCTTTGTGAAATTGAAGAACGGAGGAGGAGAGAGAGAGGCGCAACAGGTAGAGGACGAGAGAGGAGCAATGGCTGCTGCAAGGCTGCGTAGCTCTGGAGATTGGTGGTGTACCTGTGAATGCTGTGCCCCAGTGCCCACAGAAGAGAAATGCCTCTGTTGCAAGGAATAGGACCGGTTGCAGCCTTATTTTCAAGGTCTGGATGTGACTGAGGACAAGACACCTCCACCTGGAGTAACGTTAGTATCCAGCTGGGCTTTATCTAGAGCTCGAGAGATTTCAGGCACGGTATGAGATCGCTGCTTGTTCTCGCCATATTTCGGCTGGGCTTTGGAAAGCAGAGCTAAATGGTAAACAAACATGGCAGCACACCGGTAAGGTAAGACAACACGTTTACATGTCGTTTTCTATATGTTCTCTGACATTTATTCTAACGATATGAGGTTGTCTTTGTGGAAAAAAAGCTTGTTTAGTGGACTAACTTTGCACTTGAAGTATGCCCGTTCACTTACGTTTTAACAGGTCTGACGCTACCATGCACCCTGGCTGTATCTAGGCTAACGGCTAACATGCTACCTATTATTTTTATGTCACTAGTCACTTGAAACAAATTCAGGACGATAGGAGACAGGTTGAAATAAACCGAAATTTCCCTTTAATCATTTGTGCATACAAATTACTGATTGGTCCTCTTGACTTAAAGGTCCAGGGTGTAGGAAGTGTGTTTTCTTCAGTGTATGAGCTGTCCAGCAGCTCATAAAAGACAAAAAACAAAATAAAATACGTTAAAATAAATGCACAAATAGAAATTAAGGCTTATAAATAAAAATGGCCATTCCACAGTCCAGCCAGTTGTGGCTAATGCGATGTGTGTAAGTATGTGTGTGTGACTGGATTCAGGAGGTGTTAAACAGTCTTATTGCTGAGGGGACGAAGGATCTCCTGAAACGCTCTGTTCTGCAACGCAGTGAGATGAGCCGACTGCTGCAGCTGCTCCTCTGTCACTCCAGGAGGCTGTGGAGAGGGTGTCTGCTATTGTCCGTTATAGCTTTCAGTTTGTTCAATGTGCCCCTCTGCACCCCAGCTCTTAGTGGTTCCAGTCTCCTGCCAAGCACTGAGCCAGCTTTTTTGACCAGCTTGTCCAATGCTTGGTGTTTTTGTGGGACCTCAGTGTCCACAGGTAGAACAGGTAGAACAGTACAGTACATAACACACAGAATCCTATCTCACACACTGTCAGGGGTAAATCATAGACAATTAGTGGTCACTGCTGGTTAAGATAAGCAATAGCAGACGGGACAAAGGGCGATCTGTAACGCTTAGTGCTACATTTAGGGAGGTAAAATCTCTGCCCTGATGGAGGCATCTGAAGCATCAGAATGACTATCGCCCCGTGGCCTTGACATCCCTTGTTATGAAAACATTTGAGCACAATGTCAAATCTGAACTCTTATATTCTGCACAGGACATGCTGGAACCCTTACAGTTTGCCCCTAGCGCAACTAGGGGAGTGGAGGATGCTACAGCTACTTTGTTAAGTCTTGTTCTGAGACATTTGGAGGGGAATATGAATCATGCACGTTTGCTTTTTATTGATTTCTCTTCTGCTTTTAGCTGTATTCAGCCACATGGCTCGTTGACATTTTAACAAACAGGTCTCAGAGGGTCAGGGTTAATAGGACACCGCCCAGTGCCTGTTTTTATGCTACTGGATGCAATCAGGGATGTGTTCTTTCTCCTCTTTTATTTTGTTTACACACTAATGAATGTCAGAGTAATCACATATCATGATTTGTTCTTAAGTATGCAGATGACTCTGTTATTGTAAGCCTTCTTCATGGATCAGAATATGATCATGGCCCAGTACTGGATGAATTTGTTAATTGGTGTGACCGGTCTTTCCTCCACATTAATGTGTCTAAGACCAGTGAGATGTTTATTGATTTTCGGGAGCCAGTGGCAGCAGTGCAGCTGAATAAGTATTTGAGCTCTGTCTTAGATGACAAGTTGAATCTTGATATGAACACTGACAGCATCTGTAAGAAGGCAAACCAATGCCTATTCTTTTAAGGAGGCTGAGAAGTTTCGATGTAAAAAGGACAATCATGAGATTGTTCTATTCCACTTGTATTGAGTTTGTTCTTTCTTTTAACATTGTCTGTTGGTTTGGTAAAAAATAAGAACAAGTAGTGTATAATCACCTGAAAATAAGAATTACTGTGTTTGCCTTACCTTAGAATGAGCTGTTTATATCTAAATAGGGAGCGGATCTCCATTTACGAGGATCGCCATGTTGCACCACCATGTTTCTACAGTAGCTCAGAATGGACAAACCAAACACTGGCTTTTTTTTTTTTTTTTTGCTTTTTTTTCCGCATTGGCCACCATACTAAGAGGCCCAACTGCAATGAGCAGCACCGGAGTTTCACTGGTTTGTAATGTGAAACAACTTTATTCATTGTTTAAATCACCTGGTCCATTTGTTTGGGAGAGGATGGGACCTTTGTGGATAATCTGGCTTCTGATGAAAGTTCCTGAACGTCTGGATCTTGTGTTGTCGGAGAAAAAAGGCGACCACACATTAGCAGGTGCTGGACTAGCCGCCCGCAGCAACATGCCAAACTGCATTGGAAATACATGGATTTGTAATGTGAAACATAAGTTAAATCTGTGTTTCCCAGTTTTAATCACCAGGTCTGTTTGTTTTGGAGAGGAAGAGACCTCCGTGCATAATTTGGCTCACTGTAAAAATCTACTGAACATCTGGATCAGAGAAAAGTGAGCACACATTAGGGGTGAGCACACTACAGCATGTTGTAACGTGGAAACTGCTTTATTCAGTGTTTTAATCATGGTTAATAGCGGTTTTAATCGCCTGGTCTGTTTGTTTTGGTGAGGAGGAGACCTCTGTGGATAATTCTGTACATAGTAAAAACCTCCTGAACAATGAACACGGAAGGATTTCTGACTGTGAGAAGTTTTAGCTGGTTGCAATCTGCAATTCACGGCCAGACGCCACCAAATCCCACTGAATCTTACACACTTCACCTTTAACATCATATATCCTGCCTCCTACTCTCTTGTAGAGAGGAGATAGGCTTTCAGCATGGCATAATTAGTCAGTCAGAAGTCAGAGGAAGATGAATTAGAAGACATTTATGAAGTGCTCCATATCCCTGAAGCTGTTTTTTTGTGAACTGGATGACATGCAGCTATGAGGTTATCCTGTGAAATACATCTAAGGTATCTCAAAGATGTGTTTAACAGCCAGGTGACAGGACATATGATTCCAAAATGGTTTGGCCTAGCCTGTAAGCCCAGAGGTCAGGTGATTTGAAGAGGAGGCGACCGCCACTGTAGGCAGGCAAGAAATGACTGAAACTGGAACATTGCAGAGTACTCTGGGAGTAGGAGGGAAGAGTTTGAGGCTGTCTGAATGTGCCTGAAGATGAAAGAGAAAATATGATGTAGGTGGAACCATGACACGGCTGTCTGATAAGATGAGAGATACGTGTTCCAGCGGGCATTGATTTTTCACACAAACATGCTGCTAATGCAAAATAGCTGCATGTATGTCACACATAATTCATATGAAATATTTTTGGTAATATCATTGGGGGATCAGGGGAAGCAAAATTATTACAGGAAGTTACACAAAATTACTTTTATAATCATTGCTTATTTAATAATTTAGATGCCTCTGTGTTATGACTCCTTTTCCTTGTAGCTCTTAAAATTTGTCTCTCCCTTTTTCTCTG